GATGGATGGATGGATGGATGGATGGATGGATGGATGGATGGATGGATGATAAAGACTGTATTTCATAGATTTTAACATATACATTGACAAAGTTATGAACAAAACTGTGCATCAATGACTTCATGAGTAACTCAAAGCAGAGTGATGTGTCTGGAGATGGACGTGGACCTGAATGTAGGCGATAACTACAAACAAATCTGAAGTAAATTCCCACAAATGTTAATCTCACAAACACTTTTTTGCCCAGACAAGCTGGCGTTGTTCATAGGTTGTTGATATACGCTACACTTTGCTGCAATAAATACGATTTACCAATCGTTTTGCTTTAAATCTTTTGTTTTTAATTTACCAAAATAAAATTCTGCCATGTCTGTAATTTGTCTAGAATGCGTCTTTATTTGTACTTTTGTTCACCACGTTGTAAATGTTTACTGTTCGTGCTGTTTTGGAGGAAACCATCTTTCTGAAGTTGAAACTGTGTCCGGCTGTTTTCACTATTTTCCGATATCTTTTGGAACAATTTATTGAGAAAACAGAACCATCAATGATGAGAGTAATCATGTGTTGTTCCTCCTAAATGCAACCCGATCACGCTGCTCCTCATCTCTGTGCTGCTGCCACGGTCACGTTTGACAGCTGAGGTTTCTGTCATGTCGGCTTCCTGCTGCTGCTGCTGCTGCTGCGGTAGTTTGGAGTTTGTTGGCGTTTCCTCTCGCGGGCGGCCGTGAGATGCCAGAGCTCGCTGCAGGAAATCTGTTCTCTTGTTTACTGATCATCTTCTAATACGTAAAGCAAAGTAGAAGGACTGAGCCTCCAGCTTCAGACTGGTGGTTTACCTACGGAGGCCGGCGGTAGAGGCTGCGTGACGTGCAGGACGGGATCTCGTCTGACAGGCCTTTTATGAAATGTCAAGAATGCAGGGTTTGACCTCGACTAACCCGATTGTTCCTCGTGCTTCAGAGGGCTGATGTATTTCCAGAAAGCCTTTATATTATTGCCAGGACTGTTAGATTTTTTTAGTTCACTCAGAAAGCTCCTGTGCTGTCTGTGTGAACTAAAACCAAACAGCAGAACAATATTCCTAAATGTCTGAATGTACACGTGCAGTGAACTACTTCAGTGTCCAACTGAAGCATTTTCTGTGTTTCTGTGTGATATCCACTTACCTATATTGGGATGATTCAAGATCTTCATTATTCTAACTTCTCTGAAGAGCTGAAAGAGAAAAACAGAAAAATGTGGTGTTTACTAGAGAGGAAGGAATATTTTGCTCACGTCGAAGCTCAGGACAGCACGTACAGCCAACTGAGACGCAAACCAGGTGACAAAACACAAACGATTTGCCTCCAGCAGGTAAAAACCACAACAATAAACGCTGTGCCTGCATGTCTTCACACTTTGTGCTGAAATCAGTGTGAACTCCGACGATCTCGGTGGGATTTCTCTGGAGTCTTTTCAGTGCATGTGTGAACTCGTCGCTTTGCTTCAAGACGAAATGCAGCCGCAAAATTAAGGAGGCACTCGCACAATTACAGAGAAACTGTTGCTTTGACAAGTATTTCTAGTTGAATTTATTCAGCCGCCATGAGCACGATGTAAAGTTAAATAAAGCAGCACTTATGTAATGTCACAAGGAAATGATATTCATTTAATCAAACTTGATAAATCTGCTCAAATCTGATCAGGTTCAGTGTTTTATCAGGGTATCTGGTGTTTAACACTTAGTTTGTGGTTTTTAAAAGAGCTCAGCAAGGAAGATTTAGCACCAGAACCTGCACATTAGAGCTTAGTGACCAATTTTAAATCGATAACTGTGAATGTGCATCTCTACGAGAGGAAGTGACGTTTAAGTTCACGAAAACATAACAGTCCACGTGGTTAACGGCACGCCTTTGTTTTAAATCAGGACTGTGATTTAAAACAATGCGATCAGCAAATTCCATGAAATGAATGAATGAATGAATGAATGTGTCTGATTTCAGGATTTAAACTGTTTTAGTCACTTTTGATCGCACTTCGTGTTAATTCTTCATCATGTTTTAAATCTACCACGTATACGCTGAACTGTAGCTCGACTTTAAAACATCAGAAACAAACTAAATCAGAATATCTGTCAGGAAAAGAAAGTAAGAAAAAGAAAAAAGAAAAAGTGTAAAGAAAAAAAAAACCCACAAACACTAATATTGGAAGCTTTTAAGTACAGTTTGGTTGGAATCCTTAAACAGGAAAACATATGCGTGTAGAAACAATCGATTAAGAGTGTAGAATCTACATGTAATGATAATTTCTCACAGGTTAAACCATGATTTCAACATTTAGAAGCACTCTTAATTAAATTCAGGCTTCACAGACGTATTAATAATGAAGATTTAAGACCTCCGAGTGTGTGAGGATTCACCGTTAATCTGATGTTTCCGTTCTGCTCACATATGTAGATGAAACACACACTGAGATTCCTCTTAGCGCTGTTCTTTTTCTTAGAGGCTTATAACAGGAGACTTTTAAACTCTGGTTTCTGTGCTCGCCAACATCAACAACATTTGCCACAGACACGCTAACCCTAACCCACGACAACAGGAATTACAGCATTGAGTTTAAAAGTGAACCTGAATTACGTTAAACGTGCAGAATCGGGCTGATAGGAAGAGCCTCTGCTGCACATCAGCATTCAGGCTGACCACAGCAGCAGATCTGTAACGGCCAAAAATGCTTTTTAGTGTTCCGCCGTTGGAGGCATAAAACGCACTGAGTGCTATTTATTATTGATCGGCCGTTAACTACACCTCGCTCTCTTCCCTTCCATAAAAATACGGAGAGGCATCAATCTTTGATGAGGAGGGAGTAACATGCTGACGAACAAATCGCAGCGCTGAGCAGCCACAGAACACACAGGGATACCTTCCACCGGATAAACAGGTGAGGAAGGAAAGAGCAGCGTTTCTGCTGCGTTTAACTCATCAGAGCCAGAAGATAACCCCAAACAGTTAACATTAAATCAATTATTAACACTGGTGAGTGGTTTTAGCAGCACTACGTCAGACGGGTTTATAGCATCACTTGTGACGAGTCAAGTTTGTGAAACATTTTGAATGAATCACTGAGAACTTTGGGATTTCCCACGTTGTAGTATTTATAATGTTCTGGAGCAGTTTAATAAATAAATCTATGAAGCAGGAACCAAAGCTGTAAACTGTGTCCTACGATCACTAATTCTGTTTGTGAAACCGTCAGCAAGCGCACATACTTTAGTTAATAATCATCCGACAAAGAATATCTGACAAAAACTTGAACTTCTGACTGTTCACCGTTTTGCTTTGTAGATTATTAATGCCATCAATTTATTTTCTGCTCATCAAACACACTGTAAAAACTGTTTGTTTTTAAAAACCGTAGCTTTGTAAACAATTCAATAATATCTTTTTTTTAAATCCTGATTTGTTAAATTACAGATAACTGGTAAAAATCACGTAAAAATATATATATAAATAAATGTACACGTTAACCTTAAAAACAACAACAACAAACAAACAAACAAACAAAACAAATAAAAATAATAATAAAAAACAGGCCAAAACCATAAATCATTTCCAATTCAATTTTTCTGAAAGGGAATTTGTTATTTAACAAAATTTGACTGAAAGGCTATAATATTTTTTACCATATTTAAATCAGGAAAAAAAATCCTGTATTTTACAGTTATGTTATTTGAAAGAACAATTATGTTTGTTAAGGACTTTTAAAAAAAAAGGGTGAAAAGAACGCTCTATACTCTTTTTTTTTTATTCTCCCTGTTTTGTGAAATCATAGATAACTTGTAAAATCAGAAAAAGTAAATTTAAATGTTGACTGTAAAAAGAAAAATGTAAATAATGACATAAAATATCAGTATTTTTACAAATAGTAATTTGTTCTTTTACAAAGTGTTTTATTTAAGTGTTTTTATTTAAATTAGCTAAAAATCGAATTATTTTCCAGGGATTTACCTTTATATCCAGTGCACTTTACAGTCTTCGAATGTTCCAGTATTCTATAGTTTTACTGTAGTTTTTCTGGGACTCTTGCTGCCAGGTATTTTAATTTTTTAAAAAAAATCATAAACAGCTTTTTATTTGACAAACCATACAGCTAAAACATCTGGCTGAGGCAGTAGACTCTTATTTATTTGTGCTTTTTACTCGCTTATCCTTCTGATACCCTCTTGTTCTTTTTGAATATTATATATAAATATAAAATGCCAAAACTCAAAAAAATCAAGTCTTGAAATAAAATTCCAAATCCTCTTGCAGGACATTTTCAGTTATGGCAAATGTGAATTAGTTATGAAATCCGTCATAATCTCTAACCTCTCCTCTGACTCGTTGTTCCAGCAGCCTTTTAAACATCTTGTTGGGATAATAAATTGCTGCTTATTAGTGGATTTGTATGATTTATCTCCGAGGTTTCGTCTGCTCCCTCGGCGGGGAGCGAATTAAGTGAGGAGGAAATCCGAGCGATGGAAAAGCAAAGTTCAGCGACAGACTCGAACCGGGATCCGCCGGGACGCCCCGACGAAGCCTTCTGTCCTGAAGCTGCTGGTGTCTGTGTGAGAGGCAGGCAGATGGTGACCAACAGCGGGTGTTGTTTTCACATCCAGAATAGTTCTGAGCTGCACCAACACGCAGTTACACAAGTCTGTGTAAAAATGTGCAGAGAAACGCGTTGCTTAAAGCCTCGCTCAGACCCACCAGAGCTGGTTTTTCCACTTTCAGGCAGGTGTGCATGTCCCTGAGAGGTCAAAGAGTCCAAAAAGAGTCCAAGGCCCAGCGTTCTGGACTGTATCAGCACAAACATCTACTGCAGAGGTTTTGTCATAATTGAACGCAGCTTTAATTACAATGAAGTCTCTTCAAAAAATGTTAAATCATGCGGAAAACCTTCTTTAAATATCCTTGAGAGGATGAAACTTCCTGGTAGGAAACTTGCTCCTCTTCTTTAACCTGTTTGTAAGATATTTATGAGACAGACCGGTCGGCTCACATGGTTTATATACAGCAGCAAAGACCATGTTCAAAGTCTTTGCCTGCAAAATTGTCACCATTTTTTACTGATTTATTTTATTTTTTTAACACTTGTACTATCTAACAAACCTTGCTACCCACTAGCTCTCTTTCAAAGCTGTATATAAACTTGATAAATGTCCCAATTATTTAGTTCTGAAGGGGAAACACCAGAATTAAAGCATCTTTATTTGCTCTGTTTGACAACGACAGCTGATTTCTATACTGCAACCAACTCCTACGATGCTGATTTACAGGAATTTTTTTGTAAAATGGAGGTTATAACCAACAGAAAGCACAGATTGTCTCATTGTAATGTATGTTAATAGGCTGCCCTTTCAAAATAAAACTACTGGAGACTGTACAAACTGATGTACGTGTCTGACAACATTGTGACAAATCTGTGTGTTTCTAGAACTTTCTGTAAAGACTGAAACCTGCAGGAGACTGTTGACTTTTAACACCGCCTGCTCTCAGGATTAAAACCAATAAATATGTCTTTAATTCGTAAACAATTATTCATTAACGTCTCTAAACTGGATATTAGGAGCTTCAGGTTTTCACTCCAGATCAGACAAAATACGACGTGAAGACATGACTGATGAGAATTTAACACTTTAAGTAGATATTTAGAGAAATAAAATCCAAAACTGATCGGAAAACATGAAACCAACTGGATCAGATGTTCAGAGGTTCAGATTTGTTTCTGCAGAAGACTTCAGAAGGGACGCGTTCTATTTTCTGCTAACAGGGACGTCACCTCTCTCTATCGAAAAACAAAAATAAAACTGTCAAAGTCAATGGAGCTCGCGCGACTTCAAAACTTGTAATTTAAACACCCAGATTGTGCAGCGAGCGGCGGCGGCTGTGGGACGCACCGAGGTAATAAATCACCGCCGGTTTAAGAGACGGCTGAAGGGTTAATCATGAAGCTAACAGAGCGAGGCTGGGCGAGTCTGGCTGCTGACGAAGAGGTGGAGGACACGAGGAAGAGCAGCTCTGGACTGTCATTACGCTGCGCCGTGATCCCGCTCTGCCCATCATTATCCTGAAAATACTCTCCTGAGCTCCCAGAAAGTACAGGGGAATAAATCTGCGCTGGTTTCTCTGTGTGACAGCGGAAACCTCCTCGCTGCTGCTGCTCACAGGGAGGACCTTCATCTCCTCTGCTTACTCGAG